AGCTCAGGGCAGGAGTGCTTGGAGGGATGGACACTGGGAAGAGGTAACTATGGGGAGGAAGTGGGAGGGGAGCTGTTGCATTGTGGTAAACTGTGGTCAGTGACATGAGACAAAGTATATGTGAACTGCTGTATGGAAAGTAAATTTGCTCTGCAAATCTTCACCCAAATCACAATAAAAATAAATAAATAAATAAATAAATAATAAAAAAAGAAGAACAGCAAGAAGAGGTAACTATAGGGAAGAAGTGGGAAGAGAGCTGTTGCGTTGTGGGGAACTGCAGTCAATGTGATGAAACAAAATGTATATGAACTGTTGTGTGGAAAATAAATTTGAATTTGCTCTGTAAACTTTCAACCAAATCCCAATAAAAATTTAAGGAAAAAAAAAAAGAGTGGGAAATCAGGCCATTTTCTTACAAAATGTAACTTCCAGAAGTTTTTACCGACAGGAATTACACTCTGTACTCTTCCCCATCATCTCCTCTACCTGCACAATAAAAGTAGGGGTATGGGTTCCTTAGAAAAAAGTATTAGTTTGTATTAAAAAAACCCATTGCTGTTGATTCGATTCCAGCTCATAGCGACTCTATAGTAGCGTAGAACTGCCCCATAGGATTCCCAGGCTGTAGTCTCTACAGAAGCAGGCTGCCACATCTTTTCACCACAGAGTGGTTGGTGGGTTTGAACTGACAAGCTTTTGGGGCAGCCAAGTGCTTGACCATTGCACCACTAAGGCACCTTAAATTAAGAACAACTGTTTAAGATAGAGGTCAGCTAATTATTGCCTACAGGCTAGCTGCCTGTTTTTGTAAATAAAGTTTTATTGAAACATAGCCATGCTCATTCATTTATATATTGTCTATGCCTGTTTATCTAGGTAAGTGTATTTAAGGGGGAAATACTTTTCTTTGAAGAAGTATTTACCACCGTTGCCCAAGGTCTATCAGGGTTACTTACCTTCTTGGGTTTCCGAGGTGGTATCACTACGGAAGTAGATTGCCCAGCTTTCCTTCCAAGGAGTGGCTGGTGCCTTCATTAGACACTTTAATAAAGATAACAAAAACTCAACCTTTTAATGACCGGTTTGCAAGACTATGTATTAACTCTAGTCTTTTCACCAACTACAACAAATTTACCAGCAACCATTTGCCTTACTCCCTGTTCTTTTGCCCAGCAGCCTGGTAAGGCTTTTATTGCTTTGTTTTGGTCAAAGCTTAGTTGACTTAGCAAGCCTGGTGCAGTTCCGAAGCATCTAGGGTTTGCCTTTGGCACTGTGATGAAGCATATGCCCATGAAATGAAGTGACCTTTCCGGTACACAGAGCCAGCGCCAGCACCAGCGCCTCACTCTCCGGGAGTCTGCAATTCTAAGAGCATGACAGTGCTTCATGGTGTAATTCTTTGGCTTGTATACAGCTTTATTGCAGGAAGGAAACAAAAGTATAGTGTGCACTGAAGTGATAATGATTCAGAACCCACATACACATTGTTCCTTGATGTTTTTCTCAGTCCTTTGCTGCTGTTCATTTAATAGAACCCCTCCACAAGCTGATAGAGTTCAAGAAAGCAGAGTTTGACTCTGTGTTCTGATCTTTACTGCTTGTGTAGCCGTGGGTACCTTATTTAACCTCTCTGGGCCTCAGTTTCTTCCTGAGAGGATTAGATATAATGTATGGTAAGTGCCTGGTACAGAGCCTGACACAGAGCAGATAGTCAATACAGAGAAGCTGCTATTATTATTATGAAATGCAAGATGATCTTATGATGCCATAGCTTGGTATTTGTTTTGTTATGGTAGTAAATAGTGTTTCCCTGTGGACTTCTTTGTCCTGCTTCTGTGAAATCCAAGGAAAACAGTAGAATAGTGTTTGCAAGAAGGAAAGATGGCTCTTTGTTCCCTTGAACAGACAAAAGAAGCTCATTATCAAATCAAGCAGTGACTGTTGCTATTGAAATGGTTTATTTGTGTATTTTTTTTTTTTTCTGTTTCTTTCCTAGGGATTTATTTGTGGCTTTTCAGTAGCTACAGGTGCAGCGGCGAGACTAGTGTCAGGATACGACAGCTATGGAAATATCTGTGGGCAGAAAAATGCAAAGTTGGAAGCAATACCAAACAGTGGCATGGACCACACCCACCGGAAGTGAGTAGACCCTTGCTGAATGGTGAATACTAACTTTTAAGGGTGGCAGAGAAAATCCGGCTTCTCTTATTGCTATAAAGAATATTATTTGTCTGTGATTCTTCTCGGTGTTTTTTTTTTTTTTTTTTTTAAACCGTACACTTGAATCACTCCTGTTTTTGGTCTACAAATAAATTTCCCAGGAAACAAAATTAGCCGCCATGTTAAAATGGGCTGACTTAAGTTTTGAGTGAATCAAGGCGTGGTTTGAGAGGGTTATTCTCATGCTCTGTTCTTCTTTTAACTTTTAGGTTGTACACTTAGTTTTAACACAGAAAATAATGTAATATTCTTCCTCCTAAGATTATACTTGATGGAAGGCAGGGATGGTAATGGATTTTGAAACCCTGACATTTAAGGAAACATTTTGGAATGCAGCATTTATAAGTAGACATCAATTTCCAATTTTGTAAGAGATACGTTTTATTTGACTTTAAAATTTGAGTTTCCAATGTTTATCTTTTGGATTTTATGAAATTCCTGACTTAATCACCCTTTTCTTCAAGAGAGCTATTATTTTATTTTTAAAGTCTTGGGGAAAATATATTTCCTCTAACATATTTAATGTATGATACTAATATATTTGTTTAAACTGTACGTTTATGCCCCTGTACACTTACTAGACATTTCAAGTATCTAGGTAGGTCTCCAGAATTAACAAAACTAATTTTAAGGTAACAGGTTAACTAATTCAATTACTACACTTTATAGGAAAAGACTAAGTGGATAAAAATATGTTTTCAGTTTATAGTTCTATTATGAGGTGTTTTCCAAAAAGGCTGTATGTAATACTATTTATTATTGCATAAATCTGTTGGTTAAATCTGGGTCCCTACTGGAAGAATAGGATTAATTTGATAATTTCAGAAACTTGCAGAAACCCAAATAGTTAATCGTTTCTCAAAGATATTTCTTCTTTAAATGAAAGGGAGATGATGCAGTTCGAGTACTTAAGGATTTAAATGGTAATAATGAATATATGTATAGCATGTCATAGTAAAAATCAGGAAAGGTATATCTTTTCACCATACTTACTCAATCTATATGCTGAGCAAATAATCCGAGAAGCTGACCTGTAGGAGGAAAAAGATGGCATCACCATTGGAGGAAGACTCATTAACAACCTGCAATATGCAGATGACACAACCTTGCTTGCTGAAACCAAAGAGGACTTGAAGTACTTACTGATGAAGATCAAAGATACATACACCCTTCAATATGGATTATATCCTAACATAAAGAAAACACAAATCCTCAGAATTAGACCAATAAGCAGTATCATGATAAATGGAGAAAAGATTGAAGTTGTCAAGGACTTCATTTCACTTGGATCCACAATCAATGCCCGTGGAAGCTGCAGTCATAAAATCAAACGATGTAGCATTGGGCAAAACTTCTGCAAAAGACCTCTTTAAAGTGTTTAGGGCAAAGATACCACTTTGAAGACTAAGGTGAGCCTGACCCAAGCCATGGTATTTTCAGTAGGCTCATATGCCTGTGAAAGCTGGACAGTGAATAAGAAAGAGTGCAAAGAATTGATGCATTCGAGTTGTGGTGTTGGCTGAAGAGTACTGAATATATCATGGACCGCTAGAAGAACAAACAGCTCTGTCTTGGAAGACGTACAACCTTCGAATGCTCCTTTGAAGTGAGGATGGTAAGACTTCATCTCTCATCCTTTGGTTATGTTATCCAGAGGGCTCATTCCCTGGAGAAGGACATCAAAAGGGTCAGTGAAGAACAGGAAGGCCTTCAATAAGCTGGATTGACACTGGCTGCAACAATGAGCTCAGGCATGGCAACAATATGAGGATGGTGGCTGACTGGGTAGTGTTTTGTTCTGTTGTGCACAGGGTCACTGTGGATCAGAACTGACTCGGTGGCACCTAACAACAACAGTATGCCGAGTAAACAGCCCTGGGATACCATGGTGAGATACATGTAGCAGAGGCTGGGAGAGATGGCGGTGGTCTTCTCAAAGCCACATGACTGGAGGGCAGTGGAACAGCTCGTGCATACAGTGACTTTTTCTCTTCCTGCATCCCTTGACGGATGTGAACATTGGAATCTAAGAGAGTAATTTGGAGGATTGTTTCATTTACTCTTCACGATTGTCTCATGAAGTTAACACAAATTTTAGATGTGGATTGTTTCTTGTGACAGTAGCACCCATATATTTTGTTTGTTTTTGCATAGTTTCTTGTGTCAGGAATACCTATATCTTTTTGTTTGCTTGTTTATGTGGTTTTTTTTTAACTTTATTTTGAAATAATTTTAGATTGATACAGAGGTTGTAAGAATAACACAGAGAGTGCCACAGTTTTTCCTTTTGTTTTTGATTTTGTACATTGTATCCATACTTTCAAATATTGTTTGACTCTTCACTGCTGATGACATGTACCAAACATAAATATTATCATTTAGATAACTGAGAAGAGGAAAAGGCCTATCCTCTCAGGTCTACGGCTCACATGAGATGGTGATCATTTTTATGGCTTCCTCCATAACTTGATGATGATACCAAGCATATTGTTACCATAAGAGTTGTGTAAATACCACACTTAATCTTATGGTGCTTCATTTGGTCAATTTGTAATTTCAGTGGAGTAGATTTCAAATCCTTGGGTTCCTGCATTGACATTTTGGCTTCTTGCAAAGACAGCCAGCTTATTATTCCAAATAAATGATCACTTTTCCCTGAAATATATGCTATATTTAATATAGTTGGGGCCATTTATGTATAAATCAAACCAAAACCAAACTCACGACTATAGAGTTAATTTTGACTCATAGTGACACCTGTTAGGTTTCTGAGGTGGTAAATCTTTACAGAAGTAGGTCACCCAGTCTTCGTTCCGTGGTGTGGCTGGTGGATTTGAACTGCCAGCCTTCTGGTTAGCAGTCAGATGCCTCAGGCACTATGCCGCCAGAGCTCCTTTCATTTATGTAGCTTTAGGGAAAACAGTTTCCAAAGTATAGCTATTTCTTGGTACAGGTATCCATGTTTAAAGTTTATTTTTGATTTCTACTTCATCTTCTCTGTGTATTAAGGCCTTTTTATTTCTGGCCTATCTTAGTATTTCTGGTATGTTTGTTGAACATACCTTACTCAGGTAAGTCTATAATACTCAGAATTGGAAGGAGACGGGCAGTCTGGAGTCTTCGATCTGTCTCCTCTGTCTTTACCTGTGTTTCTGCTGGGTGCATTAGTTCCCACCTTTTATACTTATTCCTCGTACATCTTTGGCTTATGATGAGCCCAGGCCCTTCTGTAGCCTCAGGATATTTCTGCACCTGTTTTGTATGCTGTGACCTCAGTCTGATCTCGGTCTCCTTTTCCGGTCCTTTTTCCTCAGCACCTGCTGTAGTATCTAGTACTTACTAGCACTTCCATACATTTTTGATGAACGAGTCAACAAAGGAGTTCTTTAAGATCTTGAGTACAGCTACCTCTATCTTGCCCTTATAAGTATTGTTTCCTCTATCAGACAGAAAAATTCCTCCCATTCTTCACGGGGCTAAATTTTAGTCATCTTTCAGTTCTCAGTATAAATGCCACTTCCCAGAGAGATCTTTGATCTCACACTTTAAATATTTTTATATGCTCTCTCATCATATCCTGTAATACATATAATTATACATTTACTGTGTGATTATTTGTTAAATATGTGTCCCTAAGTTTCATGAGAGAAGAAATGAGTTCTGTTTGGTTCACTGCTATATCCTTAGTACCTAGCTCAATGCCCAGAGTGTAATAATAATAGTAAACCCAAACTCACTGCATCGGGTTGATTCTGACTCATAGTGACCCCATTGAGTTTCTGGAATAAAGTCTGCGGTGGAGATGGCAGGAATTGAACCCGGGGCCTCACACAGGCACTCATACATGTTTGTTGAATAGGTAAATAAATTTACCTATATTTAAATTTACCTATTTACCTATATTTACTAAATATAGTATGTTCTTGGAGCTCTGGTAGCATAGTGCCTAAGGCACTTGACTGCTAACCAGAAGGCTGGCAGTTCAAACCCACCAGCCGCTCCTCAGAAGGAAGGTTGGGCAATCTACTTCCGTAGTGATACCACTTCAGAAACCCAAGGAGGGGTCACTATGAGTCGGGTCCGACTCAGTGGCACATAACAACCACAGCAGAGTGTGTTCTAAGAGGTGAATTACTGAGGCTGGGTGATCTGAACATTTTAACATCATCAGTGAATATTAAAGGAGCTCTATGGGTAGAATGGTTAACACCTGACTGCTAACCAACCGAAAAGTCAGGATTCAAATCCACCAGAATCTCTGGGGGAGAAAAGACTGGGTGCCTGCTCCCATAAAGATTACAGCCTAGGAGACCCTGTGGGGCAGTTCTATTCTGTCCTATATGGTTGCTGTGTCCAAATGAGTTGGAAGTGACTCAAGGACACACAACATCAGGAACAACAATGCATATTATTGAGTGGCTTTCCATAAAGGCTTTTCCATTTATATCGCTACTAACAGTGTCTGAGATTGCTTTATTTTTGTTAGTATTATTAGTTTCTATTTTTTAGTAACTTGATAGACCAAAATAAAAAAAAAGGTGTTTTATGGTTTTAATTTGCATTCCTTTGATTATTAATGAGTATGAACCATCTGCCCACCCCTCACACGTTTACTAGTCTTTCATGAAGATTGTTGTGCCAGCATATCTATTCTTGGTCGTTTTATCCCTAATCTGCTTCATCCTTTACACTGTGATAGGATTAGGTTCTTTGAAACACAGCTGCTATTTCCTCATTTCCCTGCTCAAGAGTCTTTCCTTTGGTGGTGTTGCTTATAGTGTCAAAGATAACCCCCTGCCCTGCTACCCCAGGCCTCTCATGAGCTGGTCCCATGCTCCCTATTCAGTCTTCTCTGACTGTTCCTCAGTGTCGTGTTGTCCGTGATACTCAGTTGATCCTACCTCTGCACTCTTCCTTCG